TTGCGAGATCTGCTGTCAATTTAATTTTCTCTCCTACTATCTATTTATCTCTATTTATCAGGTCGAATTGGAATCCATTATTTTCTTGAGAATAACAATATAAGTATGAATGCTGGTCATTCTTTAAAGAAGTCAAAGGCTACAAATGCAAAGATTTGAAATTGACAAGCTTTTATATTTTATTGAAAGCGATGTTGCATCCTATAAATTCTCTTTTTTTTCTTCTTTCTTTGATCAGCCTCTCTGGTATGTCTTTGATGCCTTTCCTCACAATCAAAACGGAGCAGTCCATTATTTATGAGGTATTGGCAAAGCGTCTTAATTTGCTAAAAACGAATGAAAAAACAGAATAACATGATTTCTGGCTTGAAATTTGCTTTCCAGTCTATATTTATTGAATTTCAAAAGAAAAACCATTTCAGCCGAAGATTTCTTCGTCTTTGTTTTAATTCCAGTTTGCATTCTACTTCTTTTTATGTTGAGAATAAAATCGGAATAATTGACAATAATGATTGATTTTCGATTTGATTCCTGGTAGGTGTCATCGATGGTGTCCTCATCAGACGATTTAGCATTTACAAGATTATTCTTCTTGGGAGTTTTCTGCAAACAACCTGTGTCATTGGATCATCTTTTAGTACCAACGCCATCACTTTAGTCATTGTTCTTGGTTGTGTACTTGGTAAGATATTTCCTCTTCATTAAATAATGTTTACTTCCTCTAATCTTAGAAATGTATGTTAAATTTACTATCTACCAAAAACGAGGTGGTTGCTGTTTAATATTTACATGTATATTGACAATGTTCTAATGCTGACATCACCCAACAAATATATAGAAGCTAATTTCACATCAGAGATACAACAACATGAAGAAATTTATAATTTATTAGTTCTATGTAGTTCAGTAAAATCAACAGACGATTGGTTTCTACTCAATACTAATAAACTAAGTTACGTCACTAATGACAAACATTTAGTTTCGTCTAGTTCAATGTCAAGTCTGTATTATTTTAGTAATTCGCCCTAAGCAAGGCAGGAGTGCCACTAGCATGCGAGGGGTTACAGAGATTGAGAGTAAGAGGAGTGTTTTGGAAAAAGATAAAGAGGACAGGGATAAAGGTCAAGGCATCAGAAGATGTCAGTCGACATTACATTTGAATATTTGAAGAGTATAGCTATTGCAGAAGCAAGTAAGAGGAAGGGAGTTCCACTGTCGGGAAGTGCGAGAGAAGAAGCTGCTGAAGTAGAAGAGGTGGTTACATTTAACTGTTTCGACAGTGAAAGGGTGGGACCGAGATGCCAACCTAGTAGCACGCTTATATTCATGCAGTTTGGGTACCAGTGAAAGTAGCTCGTCGGAGCAGTTGCCATGAAAAGACAGAGAGAATCCACAACACGCCCGGGAGAAAGTGATTGTAGACGAGATGCCAGATCAGGACCAACAACGTTGCATATCCGTCTCTGGATCTTGTTGAGGACTTCGAGGTGAACAGCGGAAGCACCAGGCCATATATGGCAGCAGTATTCCATGCAAAGACGAATGGTTGATTTGTAGATTTAAAGGAGCGACTCCGGCGAGAAGAACCTTCTGGCGCGACACAGAGAACCAACTTTCCTTGCAGTAGATGAAGCTATAGATTCAATGTAGTTGTTCCACTTCAGGTCAGTGGTCAGACTGAGACCAAGCAGGAACAAAAAGATTTAAAGCTTTTTTTTCTTTTTTTTACTATCGTATATACACGAGTATACGCATATTTCATATAGTGAAACCTCTGAATACTTGTGTGAAAAACTTGATTATTTTATAGTTCGTGTAACTTCTGAGCAATACTAACAGGCCTACCGTAGTCAAATATTGCAAACGTTATATTTAGTGGATACCCGTATTTGAAATAGACGTCCGTTTTCATTTTATTTTAATCAGTGTGTATTACGTCTCACGGACTGCGCACTTGAGAAATCTTAATAAAGAAAACGTGCTCTTTAGCCTGGCAGAGGGCATATTTTCTTCATTATGCTCTTCCATATATTTACTTTTCAGTTCAACAAACTGCACAGGTCGCTTCACATCCTGGGTATGATGATAAACTGCATCCGAGTCCTAGGTATGACGATAAATTGCATCCGAGTCCTGGGTAAGACGATAAATTGCATCCGACAGCAAGGCCTCTGATCATGAGGTTTTGAGGAGAGTGGAACCACCTCTTAATTGCTGATAATCCCAGGTGCACCCTGACCCTGAGTAGTAGCACTTGTTAGGGTCCCAGCTATGGGCAAATAGTTAACCTACAAACCCGTCCGCGTCCTGGGTAAGACGATAAAGTGCATCCGCCTCCTGGGTAAGACGATAAAGTTCATCCGCGTCCTGGGTAAGACGATAAACTACGTCCGACAGCAAGGCCTCTGATCAGGAGGCTTTTTTTGGAGCGTGGAACCATCTCGTACTGGGCATCGTCCTGGACATATCTTACAGCAAACAAATGGTCTTCATTCTTTTTTATACAAAGCTACCCCAGAAAAAAAGGAAAACACCGCAAAATATCTGATACGATGATTTAGATACTTTACTTTTGTTTTCGTTCAGGCCTGACCACGTTAGCTCATTTACCCTGAGCCTGCCTCTTACGTAGTTTTTTTCCGTATGTCGCTACAAGAAGAGCAGAAGCTTAATCTCAGCAAATACCTTATACAAATGGCGGGATAGTACATTTTTTCGATCTCAAATTTGCATTTGTCTCCGTATCGCAAGTGTTTATATTGCTGAGGTATTGTATTTTTAATGACAACCTTTTTCTCAAGATTCAGTCAGCCAGTTATGTGCCATGCGTGTTAAACGCTTAGGCGATCATGTATCTTATGATACTTTCTGACAAGGTAGACCAGTTGTTATCCAAGGCTATAGAACTCGGTCTGTCCTGCTATTTACCCATAGCTGGAGAAGAAGAAGAGGATTCATACCGTTACCAAGGGTATTAGCACATTAGTGAATGTAATGGATTCGACTGGAATTCGAACTCGGCTCTCAAATTCCGCTATCCATTACTCCACCGTAATTACTTAGGATTAAATCATGCTTACCATTGTTCTATGACAGGAAATGTTTTGTATTATTTTTTTATAGTCTTTCTTTTGGAATTAGTGCTATTTCATTTTTTAACAATTTGTATATAACCTTTGTAAAGATTATGTAGGTTAATCTGGCTCAATTAGACACAAAAAGGACAATTATACTTAGCATCAGGAAATCAGTTCCATGTGCCATTCGGGATACACGCTTAGGCGATCATGCATCTTTCGATACATGACTGACGAAGCAGTTTTTTTCCCATTTCTTTCTGCGGTAGACCAGTTGCCATCCAAAGCTATCGAACCCGATCTGTTCTGCTATTTACCCATAGCTGGGAAAAGAAGAAGAGGATTCTTACCTTTCCCAAGGGCATTAGCACATAAGTGAATGTAATGGATTCAACTGGAATTCGAACTCGGCTCTCCAATTCCTCAATCCGAGAAGCTATCCATTACTCTACCGTCAAGCTAAAATAACTTAGCTTTACAGTTAAGATTAACCAAACCTACCGTGGGAATTCTGACCTGCCATGTAGGTAATGGTCACCGAAAATACATGGATTTTAACCCGTCCAGAAAAATTACCTTTTTATAGTGCAACCCCTTGTTTTTGGAATAAGAAGAATGGTTTTATTTTGAAATATATATTGGAGAGTTTTATGCCACAAAAAACGTTCTCTCGAAAGCAAAATGCTGCACGTTCTTTCTGTACTGATAAATCATCAGTTACATCCCCTTAAGATCTAGGAGATATCAGAAACACCTTGGAATCCGTCAGTAGAAGAGTAGTCAGAGTAAAGTGCAATAAGGCTTTGGTATAAGTTTATTCACAAGTTCTGTTTTTATTATAATTTATTGCCCTTACAATGGAATTTTATATGCGGCCAGAACGATTTACTTATGACTCATAAAGCGAAGCAGCAGATAAACGCTGGGCATATTGGCTCAAAACTTTTACGAACTTCGTTGCAACTCTGCTCTTTGAGAACCCGAATTGGCGTGCTCTTCTATCTGTCTCATTCAATCAAAGATATCATTGTAGACTAAAACTTATTAATAAAATGCGTAGGGGAGAATGTACTGACAAATCATCAATTACCTTCCCTAGCAGGTATAAAATGCACCTTGTTATATACGTCAGTAGACGAGTAGTCAGAGTAAAGGACAATGTTGTGTCGGAAACCTACCACCCCTCTTGAAGATGAACTTGTCTGCGTCTGTGCACAGAGACTTTAAATAGTAGCATGAGTTGACATGAAGATAGATATACAGAGAAGTTCTTAGCTGAGCTAGTTATTGACTACTCAGGCGATTTCTGTGCCTTTTTACCAACCTATTAAAACCATTTTTATTGTTACGTGTTATTTGGCGGTTGTCTCTACTAACCCCAAATCAACATCATAACAGGCAACAAGGCTTTGGTATAAGTTTATTCACTCGTTCTGTCTTTTTTATATTGTTTTTTTACTCTTCTTTAAAGTCATGCATTTATTTGCTTTTTTTACTTTCTAGTTAATTTTTGTTTCAGGCACTGTATCCTGCCTTTGTTTTCTGAACTCTTACATCCTGATGGGACTGCAATTCGGAGACGCGGGAAAGTCCTTCATTGCAGCGTTATCGTTAGCATCACCATTCGCTAGACTTCTCTTCTCCAATCTGATCCGTGCGTTTATTGAGTATTACACGTGGCGAGGTGCCATGGTCGTACTTGCAGGTATCAATCTGCAAATGATTCCTTTGGCTCTGTTTCTTCTTCTTTCACATAAGGGCAAAAAGAAACCCCTGAATGTCGATAGCAGATCCAAGAAGGCCGCTGACTCAGTTACTCTTCCTGAATCCAAAAGGACTTTCGATGTTTCTGTCCTCAAAGATCCATTATATATAACGTATTTGTTTACTGTTTCTTTCACTTTGAACGGAGCTATTTTGATGTACAGCATGTTGCCTGCTTTTTTGCACAAGAAAGGTTTGGAAATGAAGGAAGCTGCGGCACTTTATAGTATATATGGCATTGTTGCAGCTGTACCAAGGTAAGAAAAAAACACACACACACACACACACACACACACACACACACACACACATATATATATATATATATATATATATATATATAATAAAGAACCTGATAATTTTCAATTTTTTATGTAAACAACGAAATCACAGTTCATATAAGGATCTACATATCCTTGCCATTTTTAAAAATTTCCATTTTACCTTAGGAGTTTTATTATCGTTTTTCAAACTCAAAAAATTTTTAGAAAGTGATATATTTTTCTATAAGTATTACTAGTAAAGGACAATATATTTTTTACATCACCTAGTTTTGAAAGAATTCTTAGTACTACCAAATTAGAATTTTCAAAGATAAACAAGAGATTTAGTTAAACATTTGTTTGGCAATGGACATTGGTCAAGATTCCTACAATTACATTGGTTAGTATACTTAACAATATTCTCCTTGAAACTTTTATTATGATTCATATTATTAAATTGTTTTAGAGTTTAGTTGTTGTATAACTTTATGATCTTCTCAAGATTATTGGTGCAGCTATAAATTAGTTTTAATGTGTTTCTGTTTTATATTTTACAAAGGTGGCTATTTTAGGAAAATTTTTATCAATCAATTGGTGGAAATTATGGCCTTAATTAGTACTAAGTAATTGATTAAATTGTATTGTATACCAAATGATCTTCTTATTTCTTTGCTTTGGACCACTATCATCATATTTTCTATACTTGATTTCAGTCGTCCTGGGTAAGACGATAAACTACATCCGCGTCCTGGGTAAGACGATAAACTACATCAAGCAGCAATGCACTGATCAGGAGGTTTTGAGGAGTGTGGAACCACCTTTTAAATGCTGGTGTTCCCATGTCCACCCTGACCCAGAGTGGTAGCACCTGTTAGGGTCTCAGCTATGGGCAAATAGTTAACTATTACCAGCAATAGTTTTTTGAAAAATTATTACCAGCAATACAATTTTGAAGGAACAAATATTACCAGAAACAGACTTTTGGCAAAACAAAATATTACCAGCAATAAAAAATATTGTCGGCATTAAATAACCCATTGAGGTTGATATGCCGTAAAACAAAATAAACCAAACCTTGATTTCAGACGACGGGATATGTTGGAATATAAATTGGGTTGGCGTTATTTTTCATATAAGGTTGAAATATGACATTAACTAGATCTAACGTAATATGAAGACAATCTACTTGTTTAATATTAGTGCTTATCTTAACCTTAAGATTTAAACTTTTTGTTCTCTATGAATCATTTATTTTTAATTTAACTACCTTAAATTTCCTGGAATCTTCATAAAGAATAAACCGACCAGATCAGAAGACTCTGCAGAATTTAATGAGCCCATTAAAATATCAAAGAAATCATCACAGTTCTTAACCCACTAATTTTTTTGTTGATGAAAACAGATCTCCTACAATTCTTTCCTTTGATATTTTGTATTTTTAGTTATTTCTCAGTTATTTCCCTTTAACTCAACTCTCCAAGTGTTTTGGTTCACTACTGCTCTGGCCTGGTATTGAACTCACAAATCTTTGGGTTTAGTCACTGGATCTAACCAACGTCCAATGGGAAATAGCTGAGGCATTCGGAATATGCATGGCACGTGGAACTAGAACAATCTACCCCTGTGGACGAAAGGGTTCGGTTCGAAATTCGAAACACCTGAAGAAGGTCAAAGCGTACAAGAGCCAAATCGGCGATGAAGATGAGAATAACCGTCTGAACAATGTAAATAACGCAAGTAATCATAATACCTCATCTCAGAGATATAGAGGTCGTAACGTTGTGAATATGGCAATGAAGATGAGGATAACCGTCCGAATAATGTAAATAATGCAAGTAACCATAATAATTCATCTCAGAGATATAGAGGCCGTAACGTTGTGAATATGGCAATGAAGATGAGGATAACTGTTCGAATAATGTAAATAATGCTAGTAATTATAATACCTCATCTCAGAGATATAGAGGCCGAAACGTTGTGAATATGGCAATGAAGAGGGGGATTACAGTCCGAATAATGTAAATAATGTAAGTAATCATAATAGCTCATCTAAGAGATATAAACAGATAAAAGTTAACTGTTCAAATCATTACACATATTGGTTATTTTTTGGTTTTAAGTATTTTTTGTCAATTAATGAACTTCAAACGAGCTACTTTCCTACGGTTTAATTAAAAATGCTGACGTAAAACTTATGTTCATACAAAGAAAAGGAGTTACAACACTGACAAATGTATCAAAACAATAAGAGTAAAGATACTCGACCGAATGATTTAAAAATTAATCCGTTTTTTATGGGTTTTCTTTATTTCCTCTGTCTTTTAAATGTGCCTAAACTCATGAAAATTGCAAGTGTCTTTTCTAGATTTCATGCCTATCCTTAATAATTTAGCCGAGTCCTGTTCTACTCTTCTTGTTTCTTGCATTTTCTTGTCCCTTGGTATGGGGTCCCCTTCCGGATTTTACAACATCGGCATCTTGGAATGTTTCGGCCCCGAGAAATACAGCATTGGGGCATCTGTAAAGAAAACCGCTTACGGAATAAGTTCATCTCTCTTTGGCCTGTAAATATGGCGGAAATTCATTACTTCCCCTTTTATTTCTTCGATTAGGCGAAGACAAAAGTCTCATTATTATTATTATTATTATTTGTGCAACACTTTGAGAAAAGCGAGATTTAAGAAAAGAAATAGCACAGTGTTTAACAATATTTAACAATATTTTGACAGTTTGTCTTCAGGTGATGCTTAATTTAATTTTTAGAAGACAAGTTTGGTCTTTCGAAATTATCAGGATATAATAATACAATAATAGAGTAGTTCATATCAGTTCCCAGATGATTAGTTTTGAATGTTTTTAATAGTTTATTTTAAAAAAAAATGCCTAATTCCATGTCAACTGCAAGTGTTGTTTTGCAGAATTTCGGTCGGCCTGATTCAGCGATGGTTCAACATCCGTTTCATCCATATATTCATCGGATTAGCATCTTTTATGGGTTTGATGATTATCCTCATTAATCTAGCCGAGTCCTTCTCTGCTATTTTTGCCTCCTGCATCTTATTGTCTCTTAGCATGGGCGGACCTTCTGGACTTTACAATCTTGGTGTCTTGGAATGTTTGGGGCCAAAGCAATACAGCATCGGAGCATCCATCACCGAAACCTCTTACGGTTTAAGCGCAGGAATTTTCGGATACCTGGCCAGTAAGTATAGAGAATTTTTATTGTTGAACTTTTTTTCCCCTGTTAACATACGGGAAAATATTTCTAGGTGATTATTATTATGTATTTATAAGTCAGTATTTTCTCAGATAAGATCTTAATATCAGGTAATTGATGCATGTCTAAATGGTCACAACCATCATTCTGAGGTAACATGCAATTTTCATCTGACTTTAACTGTTCATCATTCTCATTCTTAAGAGGCTGTCTTTCTTCAGCAGTTCCACTGAGCAATCAATGCCATTTTGACCCATGTATCCATTTTTATCCCTGTTTTGTTTCCAGTTCACCAATGACAACTGGTATGATTGTGACTTCTTCAACTTCCAATGGCTTGCAAGTTTAAACTTCATTAAATAATTTTCTCTTCTTCTTTATGTTTTATCTTTGCATCAAGACATCTTTTCTCTTTGCACCAAGACATGTTTAATACTTGCACCATGACCTGTGTTACCTTTGCACAAAGAAATGTTTTATCTTTGCATCAAGACATGTTTTATCCTTGCACCAAAACATGTTTTATCTTTGCATCAAGACATGTTTTATCTTTGCATCAAGACAGGTTTTATCTTTGCATCAAGACATGTTTTTTCTGATTGAAAATCCCGCTTCTCCCACAACTTCCAACGAATGCTGGGGACTTGATCGCTTCATTATTCATTTATTGTTTACAAGTTGCCACCAGTTAAGGGCTGAAGTCTCAAGACACCAGAAGATGGATGTTGATACACTTTGTTAAACAAGAAACAATTGTTTTATCTTTGCATCAAGATATGTTTTATCTTTGCACCAAGACATGTTATATCTTTGCTCCAAGATATGTTTTAACTTTGCATCAAGATATGTTTTATCTTTGTATCAAGATATGTTTTATCTTTGCATCAAGACATGTTTTATCTTTGCATCAAGACATATTTTTTCTGGTTGAAAATCCCGCTTCTTCCACAACTTCCAACGAATGTTGGGGACTTGATCGCTTCATTATTCTTATATTGGGGTCTGCTTCTTGTTTGTTTACAAGTTGCCACCAGTTAAGGACTGAAGTCTCAAGACACCAGAAGATGGATGTTGATACACTTTGTTAAACAAGAAACAAAACACATTTTTTATCTAATTTGATGGTGCTGATTCCAAAAATGCTTAGTTACCGTTTTTGCTGTACTGAAATTGCTCATTTTTGGGAAAAAAAGATAAATTTACGATCTTGGCTGATCGCAAAATTTAGGTAAAGGGAATTTTATGTCAGCAACCTGAAATAAAATATTTTTATGCGAAAAAAGCGTTTTTTTAAAAGAAATTTAAAATAGAAATACTGAAGTTTTCCATTTATCGCCAAAATTCAAATTAACTGATAAGCTTTATCAGTAATACACTTTAGTAAACCTGGCAATTAAGGTGACATAAAAAAATGAAACCCTAAAATATTCTGTTTGATATTCGTAAATTAATCGCATCACTAGGGAAGAAAACCAAACACATTGACAGCATTTTGTTTTCACCGTTGGTAAGAAACTCCAACTAAAGACATCCTAATTGAATGAACCTATTCCATTGTACATGATACTGCTGGAGTATGAAATAGGACTTAAATAACATTGAACATGACAGACAATCAAGAAAGAGAAAACGTTTACCATAGTTCTTATATTCACGAAGGTTTTATTTCTGCTGTTAGTTTATTAAATGATTTGATGAAAATACTTGTTGGTCTTGGTATATTCACTCGTGCTATTTTTAAAGACTTAGGGTTTGATTGTTATTTCAAAAATAGTATTCCTCAAGCAGACCAATATGAATAAATATGAACTGAGATGTTTCTACGATTTTATTTTGAGAAATATTGCCATCTGTCAATATCATATAAACAAAAAACAAATGAAAAAGAATGCTTTTTTCCCAAAAGTGAGGCATTTCTGTACAGTAAATACGGTAGTTAACCAAGAAAAAGTAAGGTCATTTTCAGATCTAACGCCTTCAGATTAGATAAAAATGATATTTGGTATCATGACACTTTCAAAATTTTTTTGTTGACGAGTGTAGTCATTCAAATATTTATGTAGATATACAGATAAGGTTTATACACGATTAAAATATGTCACCATATTTATTACAAGGACACATGGCACAGTGGATAAAGGCGTTAGTTAGATCCAGTGTCAGGGCACAAAGAGTGTGAGTTCAATACTTGGCCAAGGCGGTGGAGAAATTTCAGAGGGAAAATTAACAGGAGATAACTGATAACGGACATCCAGTAAACATGGCACGTGGACCTAGAACAGTCTACCCCAGTGAGCGAAATAAAGGCTTCAGTTTGACATTCCGGCCACCCGAAGAAAGCCGAAGCGTACAACTGCCGAAACATTGTAATAAGTATGGCGACAAAGATGAGGACAATAGATCGAATAATGTAAATAGTGTACATAATACCCCATCTCAGAAATATAGACAGATAATCAAGGCCGAAACGTTGTAATAAATATGGCGACAAAGATGATGACAATAGTCCGAATAATGTCCATAAAAGAACATTCATAACATAAAAAATAAATCATCTTAAAATGTGTAGAATCCTGTCAATGCAAATTCCAACAGTACTGGTCAATAATCGGTGCATGAAATTTCCGATTGTATATATGAGCGTGTTCATATGACTGCCAAGTCCTACACAATTATCAAACGTTTTTGCCTGTAGGGAAATGATTGGAACATCTCAGCGCGGAATAAAGAATGCATTCAAAAGGAAAGGATTTAAATGTTTACTGTGACATTATAAATAAAAGGCCCAATTCCGAAGATTTAAACTGTACGTTTTATTGGTCTATTAGCGTATAAATCCCTCCTTGGAAGGATTTTCAACGCAGGCTTATCATCTCTCAGCTGCGTCTCTGTCCTTGGACAGAGTGCGCTCAGGGGATTCTTTGTCAAAGGACAGAGGGGCAACTGAGGAAATTATACTGAAGAGGTGCCCAGCCCTGGGGAACAGCTGCCCGGTGCCGCCCCCTTCCATTGCACTAGAGGGCGGGATCGGTGCTCACACCGAGGCCAGCTCAACCGACGGTGGCGGGGGCTGTGGGGAATTTTTGTTCCTGTCCCGGTTGTACGCGCTCGGGTCCCCATTTTAAAAAGACCCTGTGTCACATCTCGTCCTCGTGGGGGAACGAGTAAACACCGTACGTTTTATTGGTCTATAACTTTTATGATGTCAGACGCTTACTTGTCACTTTTGTGATGTCAGCAAATGCTCATTATCACGTTTGTAATTCTCATTGTAGTCGAGACTTTGGAATCGCAGATACTAATAGCAACTCCTACTAATAATTCTCGCACGAGTAATACTTGTTCGATATGTAACCTTGAATAGTAATCCGACGAGTGATCAGTATAGAGAAATAGTATAGAGAATCACGATCACTTAGACGCCACGCTAATTCCCATATATACCTTTCCTTTACGATCACGTGACCTACTTATTAGAAATGGAATTACCTGTGTTTGCTCACTGGTGATCTGTGTTCAAACTCAAGTGTCGGCAGCGAAAATTTATCCCCACAGAACAATAACAAAATACGCTATGATATATTTATTAATACTAATCGATTTCAATAAATTTCAACAGGAAAATGGTGAGTTCGATCTGTCAATCTATTACTACGCCTATGTTTACCAGTTTCAACATGGTTTTTCACAATTTTACCTCGTCAATTTTGCCGAGGTTGAACGTCTTAAAACCCAGATATTATATGGTTAATTGTCTTCGGATTATCTCCACGTACGCTAGATGATGGGATGCTGTAAGTTTTAAGAGATTACAAAGGTTCCTGGTTGGAAGGCACGGTCCTAAGCCGTAATATATGAATCATTCAGTTTCTGGTTTGCGACCAAATCTTTCCAGCGACATTTGGGTAACAGTTTGATCTACATCAGATGCAATGGCTTTGATAAGTTATTTGTAGTGTAAAGGTTTTTGTCTTCTAGTCATCCCTAAATAATGGTTGTATATGGATGTGGCCCAGATTCTATAATATTATCAATGATTTTTTTTTCTTCAGCGAAAGATGAAATGAAAAATGTGAGGACAGAATAATGAATATGGCCAAAAGAAAGAATTTAATTTTTTACTCTGATATGTTGTCTGGATAACGAAGAAACTTCTGTTCTCCAACAAAATAATTTATAATACATTATTCAATATTGATCCATTTCGAATCCGGTTAAAGAGATCTCTAAGCGAGACCTCTCGGCTTACGAAAGTGTAAACACAAGTCACTGTGACATGAAAGTTTAAGAGAAATGCAATTCCGACACATGCTTAATCCTTAAGAAGTTTTAATATCGTCACGTTTCTTTTTAAAATAATGCTTGATCATGTTGCTATCTTAGGCAAGAGGTAAACATTGGGTAGATCACCAACCGATTCTAAAACTGTTTGATAACATTATCAAGGTTAGGTATTTACAAATTGTGAATGTCACAAGTACGAGTGACTTAATGCTCTTCACACGAGTGACGAGATGGTGAGGTTAAGCAATTTAAACTTACTCTTTTCAGATCAGAGAACCAGACATACTAATGCAGAAGCTCGAATATCAATGTTTCATTGACAAAAATCATTTGATAAGTTACGATACAAAGATCTATTTGAACTGCTAGGAAAACTTTATTTAAGAAAGATGTAAAAATAATTCCGAACAATTTATCATCGTCATTAATTCAGTTAACGCATTTTCGCGCGACCGTTGTACGCTCCGGCCTTCTTCAAGAACTGTCTATTACTCAAAATTATTTTCTTTTCCAATACCCAGCAATATTTAAAAAAAAATATAAATATAGATAAAACTATATAAATACGCATACATATGATTATATAGATATATAGATAGAAATGAAGCTTTCCACACTGTTTATATACAGTTTATAGGGACTGTCTCGCTACTGAATATGCTTCCATATACATATAAGAGATATTAATCTATCTATCTATCTATCTATCTATCTATCTCTATGTGTGTGCATGATCTATAATAAGATTGCTGTGAACATTTCTGTGAAAAGTAAGCTTTTAGTTTTTAGGTTTTATTAGTCAAGCCGACAAATTTTAAGATGATACTAACGTTTGTTGTAGCAGAATATATATATATATATATATATATATATATATATATATATATATATATATATATATATATGCATGTATATATGTATGCATATGTTTGTGATAAGTAATAATAAAATAAAGTAGGTTACTTATCTTAAATCATTACTGAAAATTAGTTTCATTTCCAATGCCCAGCAATATTTTAAAAAAATGTATAAATATAGGTAAAACTATAAATGCACATACATACGATTGTATAGATATATAGATAGAAATGAAGCTTTCCACACTGTTTATATACAAATAGGGACTGTACCACTACTGAATATGCTTCCATATACATATAAGAGATTTTTATCTATCTATCTATCTATCTATCTGTTCATATCTATCTATCTATCTATCTATCTATTCATAAATCCACATCTTCCAAGATCATGTAACATTGAAAGAGTTTCGTTTTTATTTAGGCTAGATGAAATGTTTTCTGAAAAGTGTTTATATATATATATATATATATATATATATATATATATATATATATATATATATATAAAATATACCCTTAAGCTGTGCTATATTTATGGGATAAAGTTTTCAATATCAGAGATAGAGTGTGTGTAAATATAAAAATGAGAATTGAAGTCAACACTCAGAGGCGAAAGGCTGTTTCATACTAGACGCTATCGTCAACCTCACGAGCATTAAACAGCCTGTCGCCTCTCGGTTTTGATTTCAATTTTCACTTATATATATATATATATATATATATATATATATATATATATATATATATGTGTGTGTGTGTGTGTGTGTGAGAGAGAGAGAGAGACAGAGGGAGTAATTATTTACACTATTTACATTGCTCGGACACTTTTCCTCATCTTTATTGCCAAAAATCTTTCCCCAGATAAAAGAATCATTATGAAAGTTTGTTTCAAAAAAACAAAACATCTGACTATCCACGTATATTTTTAATGCTGAAAATGTTACTTTCAATCCTTGTAAAATTCAAAAATATCGTACTTAATCATTGTTTTGTGGTTTAATCGAGCTTTTTCAAGCTATGCCACTTGGTTTGTTATGGTTTATTTGTTTTACGGCATATCAACATCTCAATGGGTCATTTAATCCTGACTAGATTTATGTTGCTGGTAATATTTTTTTTTCAAAAATATATTGCTGGTAATATTTCTTTTTAAAAAAATGTATTGTTGATATTTTTTTTAAAACTGTATTGCTGGTAATATTTTTTAAAATGTACTGCTGGTAATAATATTTTCCTTAAAAAATTTATTGATGGTAATAATTTTTTACAAAAATGTATTGCTGGTATTAAAACCTATTTTTAAACTTTCATAGTGTTTTACCCCTTGTGGAGGGGGGGTTAACTATTTGCTCATAGCTGGGACCCTGACAGGTGCTATCACCCGGGGTCAGGTTATTCCTGGTAATACCAGCAATTAAGAGGTTGTTCCACTCTCTTCAAAGCCTCCTAATCAGAGAGGCCTTGCTGCCGAATGTAGTTTATCGTCTTACCTCTGAAGCGGATGTAGTTTATCGTCATACACAAGTCGGTATTGAAGGGTGGAAATATTTATGTGAATTTAAATATGCTCATTTGACTTCACCCGTTAGCTGTCTATGAATAAATGCAAGAAACTAGAAAAAAAATTGAAAAACAAATAAATTTGACTAATGTGGATCCACCTGGAATCAAAAGATCTGCATAGACAATGAAAATAATTTGATTAAACCACACACAATGACTAAAACGGGTTCGGTATATTTCGGCGTAGCCCATTTGGCTGATTCGGCGTCAGAAAAATAATTGGCCTATTCGGCACACCCATTTCAGTGTCAGGCTGTTTCGACGTCACTGTTTTTGACCGGAGACAAATCCCCCCAAAATGGAGAAAAGCATTGAAACCACCCAACTTTCAATATGACTTTTTATTCAGTTAGGGAATTAAGGATTCTATTAAAAGACTAATGGAATAATGTAAATTAAAAACTTAAATTAAAAATATTGTTTTTCTAAAAAAATTTAAAAAAAAAACTTAGTAAAGCTATTTAATCTTAAAAAATACTTCTTCATTTCGTAATAATAAGAAACATCTTCCCGGAATTTAATAAGATAAGATCGAATGATTCAACTTCCATTATGAATTTTTGATTCTTTCGTCATATGAAACTGCACTGAAGGAAATATAATATGAAAATGCCTCCAACTGATCCTTTACTTAAATTTAAAAAATGCTACTAAACAAGAGAGAGAGAGGGAGAAGAGAGGAAGAGAGAGAGAGAAGAGAGGGAGTGGAGAGAGGAAGAGAGAGAGAGAAGAGAGAGAGAGTAGAGAGAAGAAAAGAGAGAAAGAGAGAGAGAAGTAGAGAGAGAAGAGAGAGATGAGAAGAGAGATAAGAGAGAGAGAAGAGAGGAAGAGAGAGAAAAGAGAGAGATAAGAGAGAGAGAAGAGAGAGAGAAGAGAGAGAGTAGAGAGAAGGAGAGAGAGAAGAGAGAGAGAATGAGAGAGAAGGAGAGAGGAGGAGGAGAGAGAGTAGGAGGAGAGAGAGAAGGAGAGAGAAGAGAGAGGAGAGGAAGAGAGAGAAGAGAGAGTAGAGAGAAGGAGAGACAGAAGAGAGAGAAAAGGAGAGAGAATAGAGAAGAGAGGGAGGAGAGGAAGAGAGAGTAGAGAGAAGAGAGAGAAAAGGAGAGAGAAGGGAGAGAAAGGAGAAGAGAGATGGAAAGAGAGAGGAGGAGTGAGAAGAGAGAGCTGAGAAGAGAGAGAGAGAAGAGAGGAAGAGAGAGAGAAGAGAGAGAAGAGAGAGAGTAGAGAGAGAGAGTAGAGAGAAGAAGAGAGAGAAGAAGAGAAAGAAGAGAGAGAGCGAAAGAAAAGGTGAGAGAGTAGGAGGAGAGAATGAGAGAGTGGGAGGGAGAGAGAGAAGGAGAGAGAAGAGAGAAGGGTGGAAGAGAGAGAAGAGAGAGTAGAGAGAAAGAGAGAGAGAGAAAAAGGAGAGAGAAGAGAGAAGAGAGAGAAGGAGAGAGAGAAGAGAGAGAAAAGGAGAGAAGAGAGAGAGAAGGAGAGAGAGAAGGAGAGAGAGAAGGAGAGAGAGAAGAGAGAGATAAGAAGAGAGGGACAAGAGAGGGAGTAGAGAGAAGGAGAGAGAGAAGGAGAGAGAGAAGAGAGAGATGAGAAGAGAGGGACAAGAGAGGGAGTAGAGAGAAGGGAGAGAGAGAAGTAGAGAGAGAAGAGAGAGATGAGAAGAGAGGGACAAGAGAGGGAGTAGAGAGAAGGGAGAGAGAGAGAAACAGAGAGAGAAGAGAAAGAGAGGGAGAGGGAGAATTAAATATAACGACGAAGTAGTAATCTGATGCCTAATCTGCTATCCCTCTGCCGAATCAGCGACGCCAAATGGACTACGCCGGAACGTCCCAGTCCCAACTAAAACACTGCCTAACAAAACACAGACAATAAATATCGTATTTATCATCCATTTTTTAAATTTTTTTATTGATGATGTAAATAGAAAATATTTTAATTTTACTCACGGATTTTAACGAGAAAGCTGGCGTTGCATATTCTCTATAAGTTTGCCAAGATTTATACGAACTTGCGATGTTCCAACTCATAAATTGTTTTCCAGATGAATATCAGTCAATATAGACCTAGTTCTTGACTTTGTGATTTTAATTCTAGAAAATATTTGTTTACATTTATACGTACTAACAAACATGGCGGCGTACCTTCTAGAAAAGCACATTATATCTTCGAGCTCAATAAAAATGTATCAAAGATACCTCTTTAAAATTTTTGCCGAAGAAATGCATCACTCAGTTAGGTCTATTTGCAATTCCTTCCAAACCTTTTCAACATCAGCATTAAAGGGATTCCCCCAAAAGATAAAACATCTGCTTCTCTAACCCTGAAGTCATTAAATCTAGAATTCACTTCTTTTTTTCTCACCTCGTTTACCTCTACAGTAAAAATCATCATCTCCTGACTTTGAGCCGTGATTGGCTAGTGTTGGGAAAATTACCTTTCCTGAGTTGATTCTGCCATATTTGAATTTTTGATTGAAACGATTTGATATGAAAATGCATCTCATGAATCAGTTGTTTTCGTTTTTGTAATTTTAAATTTAAATCATTCAAATATCTACGAGAAATGCAAGGTCAGCTCGGGAACAAATTTACCCTTCATTTCTAAGAAGGAACACCGCTTCTTTGAGGTCATAAAATCTTTGAAGAAACTTCTCTTGACTTAGCCAACGAACTACACAGTAGTAAACCTGGTCACCATACTCCTATTCAAGTTATTCTAATACTCTTTAAACTGGTGCTGGTTAAATGCTCAGGATTGAAACAATCACAAGCATTTTCAAATTTTAAAGACTTTGCTCATAAATGCTTTTGCTGAATGATGCAGTGGACTGTTGCAATGTTGCTGTTTGATAAATTCAAAAAAGATACACCTTTGTGCAAATTAATTTTTGTATTTTCGAATGAAACATGACCCAGTGCTCATGTTCGTACTTTGTATATCCATTCCTTAAAGACGTTCCTTGCAGACCACATGTACTCGATTGGTTTTAATTAAGGAGAGTTTACGGGCCATTCTACTACTTTGATCTGCTCACTGCTAATGCGTGCCAGTGTGTTCCCGCAGAGTTACAAATTTTTGTACGTTTCCATCACCGACAATGGCCGTATGACAACTAATTGACAGCTGAGACATTATTGTCTGAGCGTGATCACGGCTGACGCAATATTTTTCAAGGCCAAACAAATTTCATCATACACCCTGAAAATTGATTCATATTACTGCACACCACTGTAAATGACTTAATCTGAGAAAAAAATAAAAATCGATTACACTCTGTCAGTTCAGTGAGTCTACAACTGACTGTATGGCGAAAGAAAGGAAACTAAAGCTGTTGTTTCAATTAATTTACATAAGGGTGTATTTGCTTATTAATCAATTTGAATACAATTCAAACATCATTAAACACGATTCTCTTAATCTCTTTTCAGGTTTATTGGTTGAGTATATGAATTCTTATCAACAGACATTCTACATTTACGGTGCCCTCATCATGACCGCCAACATTTGCTTGCTGATCACAACCATTGTTCAGCATAGGCGAGGCAAAAATGCATTTTAGAATATTGAAAAAAATCCTCGCTTTTTGTAGCAGTTCTTTCAGATGATTTACTTTGGCTGCATTTCACAATTAATAGAATTGATTTTTACAAGAATATTTTAGAAGCGGAAAACAGTGTCTGGAATCAATTTTAAGGGAAAAACGATTTTCATTAGTAGAAATAGAGTTCTCTAACAGAATACAAAGTTGGAAAACCAGGAAAATGTTAATGTCTAAAAAGAAAAAACAAAATCACTTATCCTTCATTAAAACTTTCTTTTTTATTCCAGAGAGATATAACCATTTTCTAAGAATGCGAATGGTTTAGAAAATAAAATAGGCTATGGATTTTTAATTTAATATATTTAATAGTTGTTGTATTTGGAAGTCACACATTAAAAAGACTAACATATCCAGTCTGGTTAATATCAACTGCGTTCAAATCTTCAGCATAGAAAGTAATAAATTTTTTAATCCTTCGGATATCCAGAGTACGTATGCCATAAAATGAAAATCATATTTGCCTTCTAACGGATATATTTATTTTTTGCTTGCCTGAGAATTTGCATGCACATAAGTAACCTTGTATGCGTATATACGAGATTGTGTGTCATTTTACGTACATCCAATCGCGCGCACACACACACAAACACGCACGAGCGCGCGCACACACACACACACACACACGAGCGCGCGCACACACACACAAACACACTCGAGCGCGCGCACACACACACAACACACACACACACACACACACACACGAGCGCCGCGCGCACACACACACACACACACATACACGAGCGCGCGCACACACACACAAACGCACACACACACACACACAAAAGCACACACACACACACACTGAGCGCCCGCGCACACACACACACACACACACGAGCGCGCGCGCACACACACACACACGCACACACACACACACGAGCGCGCACACACACACACACACACACACACACACACACACACGAGCGCGCGCGCACACACACACACACACACACACAGGAGCGCGCGCACACACACACACACACACGAGCGCGCGCGCACACACACACACACACACACACACACGAGCGCACGCACGCACACACACACACACACACACACGATGACTAAGTTTGAAATAAGGCATTACAATAATGCATTTCTTTTCCCACTCAGACTGCACAATCCCTACCTTGGGCTAAGCAATAAAATAATAAATCTGCAGTCAAGAATAAAAAATCTATCAACAGCTTAATGTTCATTATTTACATTATTCGGACTATTGTCCTCATCTTTGTCGCCGTATTTATTACGACGTTTCGGCTGTTGTACGCTCCGGCCTTCTTCAGGTGATTGGAATGTCGAACTTATCCCTTTATTTCGCTCATTGGGGTAGACTATTCTAGTTCCACTATAAGTAGTACCCTACAATGTAACATCTACCCTGGGTACATGGCAGCAGCCCCCCAAAACTGGGATAGGCGGGTACAAGAGGAGGAGGACAACAACACTCAGAAAACAGTCTGCCTGCCTTATGTGAAGGGGTTATCAGAGAAAATACAAAGGATCTGCGGACCATATAACATCAGGACAACCTTCAAAAGCTTGACAACACTTCGCAGATATCTCTCCCGAGTAAGATCCCCCCCTTTAGAGGAGAACATGAGTAAAGACTGTGTGTATGCTATCCCGTGCAGATGCGGAAAGAAATATAAAGGGGATACAGGCCGCCCTCTTAAGGTAAGTGTTGGGGCGCACCTACCTTCTGACTAAGAATGGACGGATCCCTCTACGATATAGCACAGTGCAAGAGAGACCAGAGTTGAGTTAAAGAGATCTGGAGATCAGTTGACCATTACACTTCCGTCTCTCTACCGGAAGATACCGTTGGACTGTACACTCTTGCTAACTGTTATTACTAACCTTCGTTCGTTATTACTAACCACTCTGTTGTTAAATACCTCTTCAAATATACCAGTATTTTTCCCTACATCTGTGTTTGTCTTTATTTGAATACACACACGCGGGAACACTCCCAACATCTCAACAGTAAGGCTTCAAGAACACCAGAAAGCTGTAACACGAGGGGAAGTGGAAAAATCAGGCGTAGCTGACCACATATGGAGAGAAAAGGGAGATCACCGCTCTCTGTGGGATCAGGTTGAGATCATTGACAAGGAACACCATTGGAAAATTTGTAAACTTAAGGAATTTCCCTAATCTTTGTGACAAAATCATAATCTATTAAGGGTGTTTCTGTAATTCTACCTTTCTTGAAAGTTACTTTTGCACATTTATCTAATCCTAAGTCCATACCTATGTCGTCACTGAAGTATTTTACAATATTGCGGAGGCCTTTCAACACATTGTCGTCTTTGGCAAAGAGTTTGAGATCATCCATGTAGAGTAGGTGATTGAATATTTTCTTATTTATTTTGTAACCATAGCTACTGTTGTTCAGTTCATGTGTAAGAGGGATTAAGGATAAACAAAACAGAAGGAGTGACAGAGAGTCTCCTTGAAAGATTCCACGTGGGATATTCAGACGGTTGGATATGGCAGTGCCCCCGGTGTGACTAAGGTAGAGTTTGGTGTTCCACATTCCCATGCTCTGCTTAAGGAAATTTAATACCACAGGGGAGACGTTGTACATTTCCAAGGTCTTAAGGATCCAAGAATGTGGAACACTATCAAAGGCTTTACGATAATCAATCCACGCTGCACTTACATTCCTGCGTCGTCTCATGCAATTTTCCAGGATCATTTTATTTATCAGAAGTTGATCTTTGCAGCCATATGAACGTCTTCTGCATCCCTTCTGTTCCAGCGGGAGAATGCTCTTTGTTTCGAGAAAGGAGTAAGTACGGTTCGTCAGTACAGACGTGATCAACTTATACGTTGTGGAGAGACATGTTATCGGTCTATAATTTTTCGGGTCTTCTGTTTCAGTTGTTTTTGGTATGAGGTGTGTAATACCTTCAGTAATCCATTCCAGGATTTTATTGGGATTATTTACAAGCGTTGTTAATGTTTTTGCAATAATTTCATGGGTAGATGTGAGATGATACAGCCAGAAATTGGGCAACTTGTCATTTCCTGGGGATTTCCATTTTTGGGATTTCGTTAGAGCTTGCTTAACATCATCTGTGGATATATTTTCCCATTCTTGCAGAGGTGTATCCAGCAGTCGTTCTTCTTCACGCCGTATCCATTCTGCATTTGGGTTATATTCCTTTGGGCTGCTCCAAATATTTTCCCAAAATGTCTGTACATTATCAATCGATGGTGGCCTTTCGAAATGTATAGGTGTTTTTCCAATTTCCCTGTAAAATTTCTTAAGATCTGTTCGGAATATTTTATTTTGGCGATAGAACCTACAACGTTTTTCGTATCGTCTTGTTCTCTGCGCCTTTAGCTGAAGTTTCTGCTTCAGCATTTCCTTGATTGATGGAATATCAATTAGGGATTTAATGTTATATTTCCGCTTGATCTTTTTGCATTTACGTGTGGAAATATTAGGGTTTCTGGTGAGCTCATCTAATAGAGAAAGCTCACATCTGATTTGTTTTATTTCTCGAATCAGTTTGGTTTTCCAAGCTGGTTCTCTGTGTCTGTTGATTTTATTTATTGTCTTGATCCCAAGCTTCCGAGTCGCTGCTAAAGCGGTGGCGTATATGACGTTGTTAACTTCTGTGATGTTTCCCGGTGGTTTATCTGTTAACAGTGTTTCCAGAGCAGCATTGTATATTTTCACGATGTGCCTGTTGGAGTTCGTCATATGGATTTTCGGAAGCTGGTCTCTGTCTGACAATTGTATGAAAGTTACTCTGCTGAGTACTTGGATGACGTCATTTTTCGCTTCGGTGATTTCAGCTTCGTGATTTTCAAGGAATTCTAACTTATTGTCACTGAAGATGACTCCAGGTACATTTTCTGGAGAACTGCAGGTTGTGTTTATGGTAGAGTCTTGGGTTTCATTTCCTGGGAGATTATTTCGTATTTCATTCGCTTTAGCGTCCACCTCATCCTCTGTTGCATTCCTTATTTCTACATTCGTCTCAATAGAGTTTGAGTGATGGCTCATAGTATTTTGTCTTATATCTAATTTTATCTTATCTATTTCTGCCTTTGAGAGTCTGTTGTTTCGCATGATGTCTCTACGGACATTGGCAAGCATGTTTGGATTGAGGTTTGGTATTATATCATTTCCCACCGTACTTCTTCATATTTGGTATGTTTGATTGGTGGTGTTCTTTGCTGGGTTTTCGAGTGCAGTGAAGAAGGATGTCATGACTTGTCGATACTCTTCGCGGCTCCACTTCGTTCGTTTACTTTTTATTAGTCGATTTGGTATTGAGTCACTTGGTCCAAGGTTGGCAATAATCCGCGTTTGGTGACCTAGTGTCTCTTTGTGTGTGGAAGAGTTTGTTCCAGTGGCAGATTTTTCGTCCTCAGACTGGTTCCTCTCTGAGGGACGCGGCCCTTGTTGTCCCGGTTGACGGCCGATCCGATATGAAATTTTCTTCGTATTCATTGAAATTGGTAGAGATGCGTTTTAACCTTGACCGCCAAGGGGTAATTATGTCCAGGTTACCAGCTTTAGGACGAGTCTCGAGGAAGATCCAAGAGCACGTCCAAACAATGAGATTGTGGATTTAGTAATATAACGAAGGTAGAATAGTTCATAAGAGTGTATGGTATTCAGTGGCGTAGACTATACTAAGTTTTAACTTGTATAACTCCGAGTGACCACTCCAAGGGGGATAAATAGATTTTAGTATATAGACTTACAAAAAACAAAAACAATATGATCCCTGTCAATGCGGATACATACACATGTAAATTATATACGTATACATACATACATATATATATATATATATATATATATATATATATATATATACAAGAGAGAGAGAGAGACAGACAGATATTAGTAAACATGTACACATATACGCAACGACAGAGATATGGGATGCTTAAAGTAAGAGAAAAAAAAAATGAAAAATGGACACGGATGTCCGCTTAAGGTCGGTGGGGACGGAAAAATTGAAATATAAGTTAAAACAAAAAAAAAAGGAAAAATGTATATATATATATATATATATATATATATATATATATATATATACGTATATAATTTACATGTGTATGTATCCGCATTGACAGGGATCATATTGTATTTTTTTCATGGCTACAGGTGTATTATTATTATTATTATTATTATTATTATTATTATTCAAACACGGTCACCACATTGTAGCCTTTTTCATAGTCAATGTGAATTTCACTCACAAGGATTGTTATGGTTTTTAGGCACTTTCCAAAGGTGCCGCACGCCGAGATCAACCCCTCCAGACCGATACCATCAGTGTCTCCTTCCTGGCAAATCGACCATGTTGAGATTCGAACTCGGGTCTCATGATCAGAATGTAACCTCTTCAGCAATGTATCGTATATATGAATTCCCCTCTTTTTTTTTTTTTAATAATCTCACTCCGAGTAAGGCGATAAAAGCCACTAAGACGCAAGAGGGGTTACTGAGTGTGAAAGTGAATAGGAAAATGTAAGTGAGTAGAATGGATAATATAAGAATGGGTTTAAAAAGACAGAAAATGGTGGTTGATGTTATATTTAAATTTTTGAGGATCGCAGTTTACAGAAAATAAACGGGAGAAAGTTCCACAAGCGACAAGCACGAGAGAATGAATAATTAGACTAGATCTTACGGTTATATTTATCTATTTCAAGTACGTTTTAGGGTGTTACAAGGGGGCCAGCCATATCTCCAGAATCTTTAACGATGGGTCGTATGAATGAGTTCCACTTGAGAACTGGGTTCAATTTCAGTCCCAGTAGGCAAAGAGATTCCTTGGGAATACAACCGTTCATTATGACTGCAATTATTTCAGAAGTTTCTCAGTGATGTTTGGGAAAAGCACACACAAAGACATACGCATATATATATATATATATATATATATATATATATATATATATATATATATATATATATATACACGTATATTGAGAGACAGAAAAATTTAAACATGTTAATAAATAATGAATATATATATATATATATATATATGTAAGATGGAACCCATTGTCATAAAAGAAAAACATAAAATTTATTTAAAATCTAAAGGACGATAAAACCCACATAAAGTGTCACCGGTAATTTAGGTATAATTACAAATCTGTTTATGTTTGCAATTAACAAAACGTATTTTGTTGTCAAGGTGAAACTTAAAGTCACGTTGAATATAAACTGAGTTGGCCACAGAATCAGAGATTATTGTTTTTGGGTAGAACAGTATTCGACTTCAAGAGTAGCATCAAGCGTCAAAGACGGTGTCTGGCTTCAGAATTATGGCTACAGCAGTTGCTGCTGAGAGTTTAACGAGAAACGATTCAATTATAATTAGTAGAAATGCCACGGTGGTTAGCAACCAATCCCCAGATGTTCGACTGTTTGATGGAAGATATGCGGAATCAGGGTCCTTTGATTTGGGACATGTTAAAGAAGGGTCTCTCTTTATCGTTTCTATTGGGGATGGATCTATGAATCCTGGATTTGTTGACGATAACTCCAATGAAAATATGTCAGGCGACTGCATCCTTCATCACAAGGGCGGGTTCTGTGACAGACCATCTGGATTGATCGAAAAGGCGGATAACATTTCGGTCATGGTCATCGTTCCTTCGGAAGAATCAATAAGAGGAGCACCATTTACTAGTCAAAGTACTGAAGCGGGTGAAAGGAAACCAGAAAGTACTCTACAACAAGATGGAATGGTTATGACGTAAGTCTTAAAAATATAATTTGTATTGATTTTAATATTTCTGAAATTATGTATTGCAACTATTTACATTATTTACATTGTTCATACTTTTGTCCTCATCTTTATTCTCATATTCACGACGTTTCGGCTGCTATACGCTCGTTTCTTCTGCAGGATCTGTCTGTATTTCCGAAATGTGGTATTGCAACTATCTACACTATTTACATTGTTCCGACTGTCATCATCACGAGCATGGCACGTGGAACGAGAACAATTTATCCCAGTTGGACTAAATAAAGCTTTCGGTTCGAAATTTCAACGTATACCGCCTGAAATATATATATTGAAATTTAACCGTGTCGTATCCACCATTATCCTTGGGATTTATATTGTCTGTGTATGTCCTTTAAATCTATGCAACGTGATGTTTTTGTTCAATATTAATAATTAATTTGAATAAAAATGGAATATCGTTAAAATGATTTCTTTTAAGTTTCTTTTAGGCTTATGGGTTGAATATATGGATTCTTATCAAGCGATATTCTGTATTTACAGCGCGTCCATCATGGCTTCCAACTTTTGCCTGTTCATTACAGCCATTGTTTAATACAAATGGGGTCAAAAAGGCAGTTCGTAATTGGCAGAAGAAAAAAAAAGGGTCCTCGTTTCTCGCAATAGTTTGCATATTGTTTTGTTCTGACTGCATTTCCAAAATGGCGGAAATGAGATGCCCAGCATTTTCCCAAGATTTTTCTCGAAAAATGAAACAAGTTTTAAAATAAAAAAAAACAAGAGAAAAACTGCCTGCACGAGAAGAAACAATTTCCTGGACTAAAACACAAATTCTGAAAACGAAAAGATTATTTCTAAAAGTAATTATTTCAAATATCAATTAATTAAAGTTTATTTCATTGTAAAGTACGGGTTCTTAATATTTTTAATTTCAATAAAACCTATTCAGAACAACAATAAAATTTCTCACAAATTTTAGAAGCTTTGTAATATCAAAACTAGAAATTCAGATAAACCTAGATAGCTATTTGAATTTTAAGGTCTATTATTGCCAACATTTCAAAGAATATTACACATATATTCTGATCTTCCCAGTAATTTACGGTCGCTGTGTTCTTCGACCTTTCTCAAATATATATTCAACCATCTACACGTTTAGAAGTATTTGGAGAAAATTTCCTTACTCTGTTGTTTACCCAACACAAAACTCAAGAGAACATATCTTAATAAATAGAGTGGGTTTTATGGGCATAAGAAATGTAGATTGTGAGTATATACAGGATAGAGAACGGTTGACCCTAGAATTGAACGGGGTAATATTTTAGAAATCGGGAAAGAGTACTTTCGGGAGTTTGCTCTACAAAGCAACTCTCCGAATGTAACTTCATTCGTATCAATGGCATACGTTAAGAATGAGGTTAGCACCTGTTTACATAACATGACGGGCCTTAGATATTAAAGTCTGAATTGGTGAATGTAAGGAGTATATTTCTTCAGAAAACTTGACATAGGAATAACGATAGAGCATCGATAGGTTTGTCACATTTCGTTTATAGGAAAGACGTTTCACCCTCTATATCTTTGAGATGAGGTATTATGATTACTTGGATTATTGACATTATTCGGACTGTTATCCTCATCTTCATTGGCATATTCACAACGTTTCAGCCTCTACATCTCTGAGATGAGGTATTATAATTACTTGCATTATTTTCATTATTCGGACTGTTAACTTCAATTTCATAGCAATATTCACAACGTTTCAGCCTTTATATCTCTGAGATGTGGTACTATTACTTGTATTCTTTACATTATTCGGATTGTTATCCTCATCTTCATTGGCATATTTACAACGTTTCGGCCGTTGTAGGCTTCCTCAGGTGATTTGAATTTCGAACCAAACCATTTATTTCGTCTATCGGGGTAGATTGTTCTAGTTCCACGTGCCATGCCTCTTCTGGAAGTCTCAATTATTTCCCTTTAACTCAACACTCCACGTTTTGGTTCACAAGGCTTAGTGGATAAAGATGTTGGTTAGATCCAGTGACTAGACCCAAAGAGTCGTGAGTTCAATACCAGACCACAACACTGGTGAACCAAAACATGGAGAGTTGAGTTAAAGGGAAATAACTGAGACATCCAGAAGAGGAATGGCACGTGGAAGTAGAACAATCTACCTCGATGGTAAAAATAAAGTGTTCAGTTCGAAATTCCAAGCACCTGAAGATGGCCGGATCGTACAACAGCCGAAACGTTATGAATATGGCAATGAAGATGAGGATAACAGTCCGCATAATGTTAATAATGCAAGGGAAAGAGCTTGTTAAGAGGAAAATGATTCATCATCTACAAGGTTGCCTAAACGCTTTTGGACGATGGGTTGTATTTCTCTTCGTTCTAGGGGTGGGGTCTTGGTTAACGTTTTTTTGTCGCTTCTCTTCTCCCGGTCGGGCGTCGAAATGTTTTTGGAATCCGGAGATGAAAAGACACCAGTAAAAGGGATTTTAAATCTTACTAGTTTGTTAACCACGTCGATCTGTACGTCTTCTTTCAAACACGAAAATCTCACATGTCTCACATGTCAAAACACAATCTAACGATCTTGTTAACCTGGAGTCCAAACAGCAACTCCCGAAAAACCTTAATCTGTAACTCATTCCCACGTTGGGTTCAGCCAATCAAAATCGACTTCCTTATTTTGTCTTCCATTTGCCCTTAAAGGTCAGCCTCAGAAGGTATGAGACAAAATACACTGACACTAAAAAATAATAGTCTGAAACTATTATTTAACATTCTTTGCCTAAGCATAAAAAATTCATTTATGAATTTTATTTCAACTACATTATATTTAACAGATGTTGACGATGGTTTAAAGGGATTGCGTATCTTCTGTCCTAATATGAGTGTAATACTCAATTTTTGTCTGGATATTCTTACACATGTAGAATATGTCAGGTAGATCAGGTACTTGATTCATGAACGAGCCAACTAATTTTTTTCAGAACCTTCAGCGTTATATTGTATATATGCTTTCTTCTTGGGGCCTGGGGTGATTTTATGTCGCAGAAGACGCTCGGAAAGCGGAGACTGTTTTGAGGTGGCAAACTTTAAATGTGATTGGTGAGAATTCAGAGTCAGTTTGGTGATGATGAAGAGTTACACGCTTGGATTTTGCACTCTT